GAGGAGGAGGAGGAGGAAGAGGAGGAGGAGGAAGAAGAGGAGGAGGAGGAGGAAGACGAGGAGGAAGAGGAGGAGGCCGAAGAAAAGGAGGAGAAAGAGGAGGAGGATGACGAGAGGGAGGAGGACGGAGAAGAGGCGAAGGAGGAGGAGAATAGGAGGGAGGAGGGAGGAGGAGGCGGACAAAGGGGGGTCAGGGGGGGTCAAGGGGGGGGGGGTAAGGGGGCCGAGCTAGGGGAGTGAGAGGCAAATTGTCTCGCCTCAACCCCCTCTCTCCCACCGCCCAGCCTCTTAACCCACTTTTTCTTTTTTTTCCCTAAATCAATCAATCAATCAATCAAACAAACCGAAAAATAAAATTGTTATCCAGTCGAAGGGGGGACACTACAATGGATATTCAATGTGTTTTTTGCAAGAGACTATCATATTTGAACATGCGGTACTCCTATGTAAGCGCAAAAAAAAAAAAAAAAAAAATTCCCCGAGCATTTTTCGGTTTATCTGGAATTCCGGATAAACGAGATGCCGAGAAAGAGGCGGGACATTCCGGTCAATTTATCCGACCGGAAATGGTAAACAACTTAGATTTTTGTGAAGTGTATCGTGCGGTTAGATGAACTGTCATTGTCAACCGGCATATAGTCGTGCTTGGGAGATCATCCCCTAGAGCGTCGGCTCATGTGCAGGTCTGATTAAGTCGTTCGACCGTGCGTACCCCATATGATACAACAAACGATAAATACCCTGGATTGGGCCACCTCTGCGATTGCACTCGAGCAACTTTCACACATAGTTCGGACAAGCGGTTATCAGATAGCTGAAAATTCATGAATGAAAATTCTGAAGTGAGAGTTTTTGGCAGTCTGAAAATCCTGAATGGTTCTGAAGTGGTGAAAGGTCCGAAGACCCTGAAAACCACCTGTTTAGGTAGGCCGCATCCTGAAGTGGTGAAGGGTGTCCTGAAGTTGTCAAGTGAGAGTTTTTATCAGTCTGAAAATCATGAATGGTCCTAAAGTGGTGAAGGGTCCGAAGACCATGAAAACCACCCTTCACCACTTGAGGATGCAGCCTGCCTAAACAGGTGGTTTTCAGGGTCTTCGGACCCTTCACCACTTTAGGACCATTCAGGATTTTCAGACCTGAATGGTCCTGAAGTGGTGAAAGGTCCGAAAACCCTGAAAACCACCTGTTTAGGCAGGCTGCATCCTGAAGTGGTGAAGGGTGTCTTGAAGTGGTGATGAAAAATACGACTGTTGTTAACCTTCTCTCATAGTTCGGTAGCTCGGCGGGGATACGTCTGGCCAAGGGTGGTGACAACCCCTTGGGCAGAGGTCGGTTGTTCCTTGCCCGACCTCTATCCTGTCGTAGGGGTTCGTAAGAGGTATGGTTGACACACTCAGGCGAAGTGGCAAAAACTCCTATACGAAAAAGTCCTGCAAAATCTTGTGTGGCGCGATCGGGAGATTCCCTGTATGAGATCGATGTGCTTGATAATGTGTGTGTGTGTGTGTGTGTGTGTGTGTGTGTGTGTGTGTGTGTGTGTGTGTGTGTATAAAAGTCAAATCCCATGACAAATCCATGCCATGCACCCCACCACCACAGTGGCACACGAGGCCTTCGTCATGCCGAAACCGACGCTCTCTGCTGCCACTTTTCTTCTCTAAAGCTACCTCATAATATATCCACAGCTTATCATGACCAACTTTCTTAGAGTCTCACATATAATGGAGGGCGTGGGGGAGGCAGGAGGGCAGACAACATGCAAGTACACGAAATAGGCACACAGGCACACCAAGACAGGCAAATCGAAAAAAATTGAAGTCCCAAGAAAGTCGAAGGACCGAAAAAAATAGAAGCTCGTGATGAAAGATTATTTCGTCGCCGTCGGAGTTGCACCGACTCATCAGGAGGCTGAACCCTCGACAATTTGTGGAATCCCCGTATTTGGTGGTTTGGTTCATGAACCCTTTGGCCCATGTTGAAGGCAGACTGTCCCCAAGCGGGACATAGCAACGGGCAGCAACCTTGTGGGGTACCAGGCAATGCAGTAGAGGTAGCCCAACTTCTTAACACCAAAGACAACTGCAAGGAACGATAGGGCAAGCGAACAAGCAATCGCGCAACCGTGCGGTGAAGTGCAAGGCAACATCAGCAGGGCGACCGAACTTCAAGGCACGCAAGCAAGTAAGTAAAGGACGAGGAAGGCCAACAGGGCAAGCAGACGAGCAGCTTGGCAACCGTGAAGTGAAGCACAAGGCACCACCAACAAGGCAACCAAACTACAAGGCATACAATCAAAGGACACCGAAGGCCGACAGGGCACACGGACAAGCAGCTCAGCAACCGTGCAGTGAAGCGCAATGCACCACTACAAGGCCACCAGACCACAAAGCATGTGAGCAAAAGATACATTGTCAAGAGGCACAGCCCGCGGATGGGCGGCAATGCAGCAGAGCAGCGAGGAAGACCTACGAAGCAAGTGGCACGGGCAGCAAGGCAGCAGCAGAGCGTCGACAAGACAATCTACACATCCAAAATGGAGCAAAGCGGCACGTGACCTAATCACATCACGAGTTAACCCCGCAGAAGGTTGGTTCCCACTACCCACTGAGCTAGGGAGGCACTCCGACGACCATCCGTCATCACCCACAGGAAACACGGACATCTCAAACTGAGCAGCCCCCCTAAGAGTGCAATGGGCAATCCAAACGTGGACCCACCGACTGTTTGGCACTGCTAGAGGGCGCTCGACTAGGGACACAAAAGTACTTGAGAAAAAAATAGGAGAAAGAGGAAAAACAAACAATGTCAAACCTAAAACTGTGTGTGTGTGTGTGTGTGTGTGTGTGTGTGTGTGTGTGTGTGTGTGTGTGTGTGTGTGTGTGTGTGTGTG